AATGACCTCTCGAGGTCCCTTCTAGTCCTAGAATCTATGAATCTATGAATTTTCAAATGACTCTACGTATCCAGGTTCCCTCAATTCTTCTTGAACAGAAAGTTACATCCAAAGAGATTGCTAAATTCCTGGAAAACTTGGGCCAGTCTGTGATCTCAGTTACGCTGGGGTAAATCTAGAGTAACTCCAGATTCACCCTGGTGTAGCAGAACAGAATCTGGTCCCTTGTGCTTAATCCCTTCCATTCTGCGTGATCCACAATAGGAATCTGAGTGGATGGCTTACCTGTTCCTGTTTGGTGTTAACAATAACCAGGTGAGACCCTTCATTGGTACAGAACTGCTTAGCGTCCAACCAGGATTTAGTCGATGTTGAAAAGAAGTAGCAATTTTTCTCAAAATGCTGCCAGCCAGGTGGACATTTTGTGCAGATGACTTCTGTGAGAAGTAAAATTATGGGACAAGCCTGCATCAGAGAGTCAAAATGCAGTCTAACTGAAGTGTAAAAACTCATCCGTGCCCCCTTACCTGTGATGTTCCGTAACTCCTCCTGCACCCTGCTCAAGACCTCCTGGAGTCTGTCATGGTCCCTTCTCACCTCAGCCAGCTCCTTCGACATACTGTGCGTTAGGTTCCTTATCTCTGTCAGGGGAGGCAGGGGGTAGAAAAATGCCACCGGAATCAACAGGTTGATATTTCTGGGCTGGCTCAGACTTTCCTTTACAGCAGCTGGAAATGTGTCCATCCATCTGCAAACACACTATCTGTCCCCTTTCACAGCCTTTGACCTATCTATGCACCATTGTATTATCAAAGCACCTGTGCTATCCTGGGCTCATTGATTTTCCTTCAAGCTAACTGTTGGATTCAGTGAGGGAATTTTTACCTCAGTAGGCTCGCAATAAGGTAGCCCAGGCTCCACTTCTGCATCACAGGCCTCTTCTATGGAAGTCTAAATCCCTAGTCACTGCCCTGACACCAGCATAACTAAGATCAGACTCCAGCTCATGTTTCCACTGGATGGGCCTGATACCAGAAAGGCTGAGCATTCCCAAATTCCTTCTGCAGGCCCTGGGAGCTGTGAGCTCTCAGCAGCGCTGAGCGAACCAGAGCACCCCACCACCGCCACCACCACTGCCACGTATCTACAGGGTACTGAGACCACAATGCAGCAAAGCACTTAAACACAAAGCCAGTGATTTTCATCCTGTTTTCATTTTCGGACCCCTGATCTTTAGAATGGAGGTGAGGACCCCTTTGGAAATCTTGGGCATAGTCTGCGGACCCCCATGGGTCTACGGACCACAGGCAGAAAACCACTGCTCTGAGATGTGTTACACCACACAGTAATCACGAGGCTAGAGTTGTTTGACAGCTGCTATTGTGGGTAACAACTTGGGGATTGAACTGGGGCCCTCCAGGGCTAAAAGGAGGAACTACTTCAGCGTGAGATAAAGCTGCCGAACCATCTCCTAGATCAGCACAGTGGGGGAGCTGTCACACGTGCTCACCAATGGGTTACACATGCCTAAGTGCCTTTGCTGGATCAGGGTCTGAGTTCCAAAGTTCTGCTGCAGCATGAACGGGGCTCAGGATAAAACCTGGGGTGGCCCATGGGAGCAGGATGCAGCTGATTCCAAACCAAAATGGGATTATCCATGTAGGGCTCCCTGCTCCAGCCTCATACTTCCCCTTTCTCATCCTCCTTCTCTCCTTCCTTTTCAGCTTCCCCTCCTCAGGGGAAGATCAGACC